AATAGTTGTAAAAAGACTGCATAAGGACGTTGTTCATACCTTCTCCCCCGGTGGGGGGAGGAGGGGGGAGGGGGGGAGGGGCGAGGGGAGGCAAGATAAGGCACAAGTGGGCTTTTTGCTAAGCAAGGAACTCCATTATGATGTGGTTCTTGGAGGGTATGTAGCTGCAATTTGAGTGGAAGAAAGAAAACTATGTTGTACAGGTGCCCAAATAGGAAGACAGTCTGTCTAGAGAGGTATTCACCTCACAAGATCGAAGACTACTCAATTGACATGAATATACATACCAAGGATATTCTTTCTATTTAAGAAGATCACCCAAATACCTCAGATGGATGCTTATCTGCTAGGTCATTTAGTATTGGCAGAACCAAGATGAGGTGTGTTTTTAGCCTTTGTGTCTTCAAAAGGACAGGCCATAGAGACCCCTCCAAAGATCGCACGAGTCATCGCTAAGTATCCAGACCTGCAGGAGGAACTCACTGGAGTTGTGGATGCGGGGATAGTTCATGCCATAGAGATTTTCCCAGGAGCAAAATCCCAAAAGGCAAAATCTATAGGATGCCTCCAACATAGCCAGATGAGCTTTGCAAGCAACTAAAGGAACTGATTGACCAGGGCTGGATTAAGCCAGCAGGTGTAGCTCCCCACCAATAGATGGAGCTTTAAAAAAAAAAAAAAAAAAAAAAAAAAAAGGGCTGGATTAAGCCTGGTAATTCGCCTTACGGGTCTCATGTTCCATTCATAGTATTCATACCCAAAAGGGGCCTCAGCGCCATCACTGTGCAAAATGTTGAGCCCCTACCCTGCACCGGTGCAGGTACTTCAGCAAGATAGATCTGAAGCAAGACAGATCTGAAGCCCGGATACTATCAGATACATTTAACACTCGAGGATCAGCACACAACTACATTTCAAACTGGTTATCTCCTGTATGCGTTTGTGGAGTTGCTTTTTGGGCTCCGTAACATGCCCGGTACATTCCAGCATGTCATGAACAATGTTTTTCACAAGTAATTGGATAATTTATTGTTGTTCATCTTGTCAAAATTCTATTTTTAGTAAGACTTTGGAGGATCATGCAGAATATCTGAAGATAGTCCTTCGGGACATCCGTTAAAATTGGAACGATACAGAGAAGATTAGCATGGCCCCTGCGCAAAAAAAAAAAAAAAAAAAAAAAAAAAAAAAAAAAAAAAAAATCTGAAGATAGTAAAGGGAGCGTTTGGACGAAGTAAAGTCTTGTATTTGGGTCATGAGCTTTCTGACAAAGGGTTGCGGCCTAAGGATGCGACAAGTAGCGGGGACCATTAGGGGCTAACTGTGACCCCGGTCTGTGACTGAGGTTAGATCTTTCTTGGGGATGGCTGGGTATTCCAGATTGTCCGTAGAGAACTTTAGTAGTATGGCAAGCCCCTTGGCTGACATACTCGGATAGATACCCCTTGGGATTGGAATAAGGAATGAGAGTGGGCTTTCACGTTGGTCTTTCCTGATGAAAGATCCGGTCCTAAAGACTTTTGAGCCCGGGAAGACAGTTATCGCTACTACTGACGGTAGTCAACATAGGATAGGCGCAGTGCTACAGCAAATAGAAGCAATAGATGTGACTAAGCTGAGACCAATTGAGCACCTGGTTGAGGAAATGTCATCGCAAAAGCTAACAAATTCCACCTATCAGGCTATCAAAGGGAGTTGTATGTGCTTGGCATCGAAACACTGGAAACATGATCTCCATGACACACATTCTGTCTACTGTCTTCACCCGAAAATAATGCCCGGGCATTCTATTCAACTTACCCTAAAAAGATCAGATTTTCGTTTTTCCTCTCTTTTTCTCAAATAGAACACCCCTTCAAATATAACGCCCGGGTGCAGAGTGCCTTGTAGGGGTACTATACATGGGTTTGAAAGGGCGGGGAGGGGGATATACATGGGTTTTAAAGGGGGTTGAAAGGGGTTTTGACTTCCAAGGGCCATATTTCGGTTTGAGTTTTTGTTCTCGTTCCCCTCCCCTTCCCGAGCTTATAGGAATTACGTAGTGACCACACACGACGATGCTCTCAAGCGTTGAATATGAACGACGAGACGCGGAAGCATGAGAAAGGTATGTACAATGTGGTTGCTGATGAATTGTCCTGGAGGGCTGACTTCCTAGGTGGGTTAGTAAAGGAATTTGGGTTAGAAGAACATGTACCTCTGAAGGCAGAGGAATAATACCAAAGGAGAGATTATTCTCAGTGAAATCATCAGACATGCGTTAGCAGGTGGAGGAATCCTACCAAGGAGATAATATGCTCAGTGAAATAATCATCAGACATGTGATAAGCCAGGCTCTGTACCTCACGGCTTCACGCACCCTTCGGATTAAAGCCCGGAGTACGCCCCGAAACACAGACCTTAGCTGATCCGGGAAAGCGGGGACCATTTTTGAATTTTGGGGATTAAATGCATGCATCTTTCGGAATTGCCCCTGTCCCCGTTCAAATCACTCCCGTGCGGACGATTAGCGACCATGCGGGGGAATTCAAGAAACAGTTATGAATTTTGGTTGTCGGCATTTCAAATTTCCTTCGCGCGCGTGGCCATTCTTGAATTCTTGTTTGCCGCGCGAACTCGCTTCACGCTCTGCATGTGCTCGCCAACTCCCCTTCTTGCTAAGCGCTCCTCTCTGCGTACCCCTTCGTCTTCCCCCAAGCTCTTCGTCAGATCCTCACCTTACCCCTCAGCACGATTGATTGGTCGTTAGTTGGGATGTCCGGATAAATGCTGCAAAAGCGAACTTGGGCGCGCAGCTTGAACGACCACTCCAATTGAGCGAAATTTTTGATCGCCCCGCCTTCTTCGATCCTTCTGAACCTTCTTCTTTCTCCTGTCCTGCTCATCTACACCCCTCGCTGCCCGCATTACACGCTGGTGCCCCCCCGCCTTGTGCGCTATTAATTTACGAAGCCCCCTCCTCTCGCTGTCTTTGATCTCGGCTGCAATGCTGCGCAAGCTATGAGCGAAGACCACGGCGCCGAACAGGCTCAGCATGCCCAAGGAACGGGCAGAGTGACGGTGTGGGGTGGAACTAGTGGTAGACTTGTGGTAAGGCAGTCCGAGGGACTGAGCGATGGTGGAGACGGGAACGTGGCCAGCGGCAGGGCCTTGTGGCTATGGCTGGTTCACGTTCGGATTGGGCTGGTGGCTGAACACGCGGAGTGCCAGTCTTGATGGGATTTTTGAATAGCGAGGGGCTCGCTTCTTCTCCATCGCTGCTTTGTTCATGTGTCGTTTATGCTCAAACTAAGTGTGGATACTCAGTTGCATGCATGATGTTGGCTGTGAGTGTCTCTGGATGCCGAATGCTTCGCTGTTAGAACGTTTGTGCATGTATGAGTGCAAAACCATGGAGTGATGGTTTTGAGTGTGTTTGCGCACGCGAGTGAGGCTCTGGGGTGCATTGGGTCGCGAACGTCTTCTTGCATGTATGAGTACTGATGCCCACTGTTCTCCGACTAGCTGCCGATCTCCGCGCCGAGGGCGTGTGTGAGATCGTCGTCAGCCTTTTCCTCTCTCCCCTCTCGCACAGCAAGCGCCACATGTCAGTTTCTCCGCTCACTTGCGTTAATAGCCGGTAACCAGGGACGTCAGGCGTTGGCGTTTCATCGACCCGCCCGGCCTCTCTGCTACTTGACCATCGCCGTTTTTGCTACGGTGACGATTTTTGACTTGACGACGTCGTGGTCCGAGCTTGCGCTTTTGATAAGTGGGAGTGAGTGTGATAGGGCCCTTTGGGATTTGCATGGAGTTGAGGTCCGCGGTGCTGAACGTGAGTGCGGGTAATTGCCCGTGCTCGAACCTCACGTCGATCCACTATAGCGATCTTCTGCCTTTTCCAATCACATACGAAGACGGTGTGTACTGCGATGCGGACGTGCTGATGACACTGTTGCGAGTCAACCGGGTTCATCTTTATAATCCGTCTAAGGCTTGCCATATAGGAGGGAGTGGGTTTGTTCTGATCGATCGATTTTCTTTCCCCTCATTGATCTTGCCTTATACAGATTTGACGGTGCTCCCATGGTCAGCAGCCCACGCCACGTGGAAGCCTCAGCTTAACTGCTGTTGGTGTCGATTGGGAAACTCGTGTTCCTGGTAGAGGCTGGTGCTGGGGTACGAAGGTTCGGTTCGATTCCCAGACCTCGCCCATAGCATGAGAGCTCTTCCGGCGAGCTTTCGAACCTGGGCACTGCCGGCCCCGCCCCTGTCGGATGACGAGTCCCTCGGTCGATCGGATGAACCTCATGGTCCTGACTCAGATGTCTAGGAGGTCCCTGTTTCCTAGGTCCCTGCAGTAAGGTTGGCGTGAACCTGGCGCGAGAGAATCGGTAGATTCAGCACCTTTCCCTTTTCCTCCCCTTAACCGTTATTTTGCAGATGGCACTTGAGGGCATGTGTGGTCCCAAGAACCGCGGCGGAGTGAAGTTTTGCTTACCCCGCCTGCCAGCACGTATTGACTGTCTGGACCTTCTTGGTTTTCCTTTCTTTTGTTTAGTCCTCCCGGTCGGCCATATCTTCTGAAACGATCTCGGGACTGAGGCAAGAATTTCCAGTTTCGTCCTGGAGATTCGACCCCCGCCCAAAATCCTCGGCCAGCCCCCAGTTACTCTGATGAGTATCTCCTCGGTACGAAACGCTGCGTGGGGCGTGAGGTTGCACATCACAGGCAACTCAACAAGCAGGATAGAAAGGTGTGTGAGGAGTATCGAATGTCGGAGGGTTTGTTGTTCTCGAGTAAGGATGGGGTAGAGACCTCTGCTAATTTGCCAGCGTTTCACGTGACTTGGTGTGAAGAGGGATGTGCATGATTATGTTGGGAGTCACCGGGTTCATCAACAAGCACATTTAGGCTTAATAAAGCCCCTTCCTACTTTTGGAGGACCTCACCAGTCTCTAGCCATTGGCTTTATGGACACATTAGTGACCAGCAGGAAAGGAAACAATCAGATTTTTTGTGATACTCGACAGATTTATTGAATTTGCATGTTTCATGTACCACAAAGAAAAAGTTAGTCATAACTGAATCTGCTAATCACTTGATCAAAGATTTTGGATTACCCAAAAGTGATAGGGATGTGCGGTTTAAGGGGGAACTCTGGCAAGCCCTGGCCAAAAAGTTGGGTTCAGAACTGAAGATGACTTTAGACAATCGACCTGAAGCGAACGACCAAGCTGAGCGAATGAACAAACAGGTACAGGAGCTTCTTGGGCATTAATAACCCCTGATCAACTTGATTGGGATATCAAACTGCCTCAGACAGTTTGGCTGCATAATAATGTCATACACTAAGCAATGTGCCACTCATGCAAGGACAGTGGTACAGGAGCTTCTTTCAACTCCGCTTGCTCATGATCGGTCGTCTTTCAGCTTTTGCATCTTGACACTTATTTGCGTTCTCATTGCATGGTTCCTTGCAAGGTTACGTTCAGACAACTATAAACTCTGATTACATTTCCTTGCATTGTGGTGTCCACGAAGCAACCAGCAGCCTCTGCATCAGGAACTGCCACGCAGGCAAAAAGCAGCTGTGGCAGACACTTTGCATTTTCCAGCTGAAGCTTACTTGACTTTCTCTTCTTCGTTCGGTATCGTTCAGTCTCAAAATTTTCCGGCAGCTAGCTAGCCCAAAATGCTCAACTGTCAGCTCTATGTTGCGTTCTGCCTCTCACACTCTATTGCTCATTTGCTGATGGGCTGACTGCAGCCTAGCTAGCACGTATACAAAACATTCCACTCATCTACTCACCCACTCACCTCCTGGCAGTACAAACTCGCTGCTTTATCCACACCTATTCAAATACAGAACTTACTCCCCCCCCCCCTTTATCTGCCCATCCCAAATCACCAGGTGCCTTGACTCTGCCACCCTCACTCTTGATGACTGGCTGGCCTGCTGAGCTAGTGGCTGGTTATACATAACTTCACCCACTCATTCACCTTCTCACTCTGCTACTGACTCACTACTCTCATCTGCTCACTCGCCTATTCACTCGCCCGGACACTCGCCTGACACTCGCCTATTTTCTCGCCCACACACTCGCCTACTCACTCAACTACTCGCTCATCTTCTCACTCAAGTACTTACTCACCTACTCACTCAAGTACTTACTCACCTACTCACTCAAGTACTTACTCACCTTGTCACTCAAGTACTTACTCACCTACTCACTCAAGTACTTACTTGCCTACTCACCTACTTGCTCACATAGTTGCTCACCTACTCGCTCACATAGTTGCTCACCTACTTGCTCGCCTACAAGTTCACCCATGGATGCAACGACTAGCATAATCACCTGCTCACCAGCTTACACCGTTCTCACTGAGGCAGCCTCTCATCAAGGAAGCATGGACAGGCTTCAACTGAAGTGTGCTCTGTATTATTCAGTCCCTTCAGCATTGTTCAATTCATTATATGGTGCTACTCCTCCTGGTCAGGAGGACAGTGGCAATGCAACACTCCTGTTGGAAACACCAATAAACTACCACTCATTTGTCCACTTATCTGCCATTGACGATCTGCCTAACCTTGTCCAGCCCCCAAATCGGTTTCTGCTTTTTTTTTCACCATTCAGTGGCATTCACAGAAAATCTCGCATGTGCACTGGACGCTTCACAGCGTTTGTGAATCCCTGAGACAACACAACATCCAGTCATACACACACACACACACACACACACACAAATTGTGAGGGATGACGCAAAAGACATGAAATGGAATGAGACAAAACAGAAAAAAGAACAAAAAGCTCTCAAAACACAACAAAGAAATCAGAACGAAAACTATAAAACGAAATTGAACAGAATACAACTCAAATCTGATCCTAGTTCATTCATGAGCCACTCCTCAAATCTGATCCACTGCCTTCCATCACGACTGAAGACGAAGTGCCATGTGAAGAAGAAGAAGAAGAAGAAGAAGAAGAAGAAGAAGAAGAAGAAAGAAGAAGAAGAAGAAGAAGAAGAAGAAGAAGAAGAAGAAGAAGAAGGCTCCCTTGTATTGCGGATCGTGGTCCACCCCAGGCCTGCCTGAAGATATCTTGCACTGCCTGTTGGCTTGCCCAAGAGCCGCTCAGCTTTGGACTAAAGCCAAGGCCTTTTGGGCCTCTCTATCAGCGGCGCCTTTCCCTTCTGGGCCGGCAGCGTTGCTTACTGGCCTGATGGAGCCCCCATTTCCCGAACACTGGGAAAAAGAACGCTGTATCGCAGATTCCGGCCCTTCACCCTATGGGCAATGTGGAATCGGAGCTGTAAGGAAATGTTAGATGCACAACTGGTGGCCGCGGAGAAGGCATGGTCCGGCATTGCCTTGCTGCTGCAGGATGATTATCATTCCAATTGGGCAAGGGCGAGACAGCAGATCAGGAGGGACCCCACTAGACGGGAGGAGATCACCGACAACTTCAAATGCCATGTGCTGGGAAGAGGCAAGGTGGGGACCATCTCAGCCGCTACACTCCGCCTTAACCGGCTGGCGGGCCAGCAGCTGGGAATGGAGGGCGGCTCCCTGGAGTCTCCCCAAGCGTCGGACGTCGACGTACACTCGGGATAACTGCCCCTGACGTCTGGTGGCAAGGGACACACAGTGGTTTCACTGAGTGCCACAACAAACCACGGGCAGGCCGGTCACAGGCCACGCCGTGGAGTGGCCCGGGGTCCCCCGAGGCGCCCTGCCACAGAGCGCTGGGGGTGGGCTCTCGAGAGAGGTCTACAGTGATATTTTGTGGGGAAGTATATGCAGGGGTAGACAGGGCGATGGAGCCGCCTGCCATTACTTGATCCAAGCCATAAATTCGTGCAATTCCGTCACCAACTTGAAGAACTGTGCCAATATTAACAATTTTTACTTTTTGGTCATATTCTTCGATTTTTTTACGGATGATACTGCTGATTTCAGCGGGTCTAATACCAATATTACTCACCATTTGTATTTTTTACTTTATTTACATGTATTTTATTTATAAAAGTTTCTTATGATTTTTCAAATTCTACTAGAGTGAAATTGAATTACTTATAGATTAGTTGAAACTTGAAAATTGTTAAAAAATAACTCAATTTTATAATCGATCATTTCTACTTGCAATTGGCCCGCCAGATTATTGAAAAACTGGCGGCCTATTTGGGCCGTCGATCTGGTGAGATCTGCGGCCCAGATAGGCCGCCCGTTTTTGAACATTCGGGCAGGAAACCACCCGAAGTTCTTGGCGGCGATCCAAACCTTCCCCAGGCACAGCCCCTACCACCCCGCCTCCTGCCTCCAGCTGCTTTCGAACAGCAGGACCCGTCACTTCGACACTTCGTCGAAAGTGAACGAGGTCGAGACTGCGTCTCCCCCCCCACGTCCGCCCCGGCCTCGGAAGGTAAGTCTTCCTTTGTTGTTCTCTGTTTCTTCTTCTTCGTACTATCTTCTTCTTCTTCTTCTTCTTCTTCTTCTTCTTCTTCTGGCAAAGCCGAACTCGGAAGTTTGCACAGTAGAGAGAGAGAGAGAGAGAGAG